CTGAGAGCACTGGAGCAGCTGACCATGGACTGAACCCTCTGAGACCACTGGAGCAGCTGACCATGGACTGAACCCTCTGAGAGCACTGGAGCAGCCGACCATGGACTGAAACCTCTGAGACCATTGGAGCAGCCGACCATGGACTGAATCCCCCGAGACCATTGGAGCAGCTGACCATGGACTGAACCCCCTGAGAGCACTGGAGCAGCTGACCATGGACTGAACCCCCCGAGACCACTGGAGCAGCCGACCATGGACTGAGCCCTCTGAGACCCATAAACCACATTACACCTTTCCTCCTGTAACTTGGCTATTGGGTCCCAGGAACAAGAATAGGGCTGAGATAACTGAACCCACAAAAGGGTGGAATTCCCAACACTGAAGACGCAACCCAAGATTTCATGCCTGCGCATGACATCATCCAAGGACACGGAGAGGCGTGCAGACATCCAAGGAAGGACCCAAGGAGGGAGGCAGAGAGAACAACAGCCCACCACCTACCCTGATTGGGGAAAAAACCCCTCCTCCCATGCTTCTTCATACTTTTCACAACTTCTTCCTCCTCAGCCAGAAAATACAGACGCGGGGAAGTGGTGGCCCCTGACATCAAAATCAGACAAAACCCTTCACAGTGTTAAAACCGCTCCGATCCCACCATCAGGCAGCACATGGCAACCTCACCAAAACTTCACAAGACACAACCAAGCCTTTGGACACAAGGTCCTCCTGTTCGTCCCACGGAGCCCTGGCCAGCCCTGTCCACATCTCACTGACATCTCAGAAGCGAAAATCCTTCACAAGCCAGAGGAAACTCCCCAGTGTCTAACCCCAAGGACACCAGTCCTCGCTTGGAGACGTATCCTCCACCCCCTTCAGAGCTCACACGCCATCCTGGACAAAGTCTGTCCTCTTCTCCTCGATGGGGAGACACTTTTGACCGCCTGCGTGTGCGTGTCGGCTTCAGCTCACCTGCAAAACCCTTCCACAGTTCACCTTGTGCTCATATTTTGGGGCTTCCTGTGCTGGCTTACAAGCCCAAGGCAGGTTTGTCTAAATGGATAGCCACCACCTGGCAACATTACATAGGAATCCACATGTGGGGCTGGGGATGAAATCCAGGGCCTGTGCGCTGAGCTGCGTGCCCAGCCCCTTTTGATTTTTTAATTTTGTAACAGGAACTCGTAAGTCACTAAGTTGTCCGGGCTGAGTGTGAGCTGTGGGCTCCTCCTGCCTCAGCCTCCCATAATGCTGGGATGACGAACGTGAGACCTGCAGGATGATTAAGATAATGAAATGGTCCAGGTACGAGGGCTCAGGATTGGTGTTCTGGTCTGAGGATTTGCACGCACACCCTGAAGTCACTCCAAAGCCACCTGTTCAAGATGTGCCTATCACCAGGTGAATGGATGAAGAAAATGTGGAGTTTACACACAATGGAGCACTACACTGCCCCGAGGAAGAGTAACCCTGGGCCATTTGTAGGAAAACAGATGCAGCTTGAGACCACAACGTCAGGTGAAATAAATCAGACACACGAGCTTCAATATCGCATGGTTCCTCTGACAGGAGAAACGCAAAGTGTGGATACTCTGAGGAGCAGCATAAAGGAGAAACGAGAACAGGACAGCAGCACAGAGGTG